CAAATTTGAGCTAAATATCTCAAAAACTGCAGGAGAGAAAATCGTGAAATTATTAACCTCGTGTAGATCGGTAACGAACCATTTGCGGGCCTATGTTTGTATGAACTTTTAATCATAAAATAAACCAATTCAATTAGCCCCTTTCGTATGTTTGGGAACACCCTGTCTCTGTTGTCCACTTGACTGTTAGTTACGCAGAAATTTGCTTACGAAAATGATCTAATTTTATTGCGTAATACTTCCTTCATTCCCACTTCTTGCTTTACTGTAACCCACGAAATGACCTTACCTTTTCCGTCCGTTTGTCTGTCGATCCCACCTTCGCTGTATCATTGACGGTTTGTATATGCGCGTCTGTCTACTGGTACATGTTGACTAAGCATCTAGACGACAAATTGATTTTGGACTTATTGTTAATATCTGTCCGTCTGCCCTTTACTGGCGGACGTGCTGTAAATCAGCTTCCTCATTCGGTAGCTAGTACAGATTCTCGATAAATCTTATGTAACAAATAACCATACGGCAATCCTGATCCGTATTCAAGACTTCTTAGAGCAAGCGAAGTGTAGCTTTCAGTGCTTTGTTTGAATATGAAATTATTTCCTTAGTTTTGTTATTTGCCACCTATGATTGAAAAATGGCGATGCAAGACACTAATTAGGTCTCTGGGAGTTCTCAAAGGTCCAGGAAGCTCCATGGGAAACTTAGTGACCCCGCTCACCTCAATTTGGTCGCCCTTGTCATCTGCAGAAGATTAAATATTAAATGCATCAGGGAATTTTAGGTGCTTTTCTCATTACTTGAAAGTAATTATCTGACTGCTCCGTCAGTTTGTATATTGGTTCACGCTAGCTCAGCTTCTAGACGTTTTATCAACTTACATGCCCAAAATCATGATTTATGCATATGTATTTGAGTATGTCCGTCTGTCTGCATGTCCTCTTCCGACGTCGGAATTACGTTATGTGTGTACTGATTGTACATAATAAATTTAGTTTTCTAAAATCTACCGATCCGCGTGAGTGGGTTGTGCTGGCACGCCCACGTGTGGGTTTCCATAAATTTCTTATTATTACAACCCAAAAACCTCAATCGTATTGAGTACATAAAGAACCCTTAGTCGGAGAATGGTCCCTAAACTATTCATATTACGAGTTTATAGAAAATTGTTAACAATCTAGGGGGTATAAGTTGCGCTTTAAGAGATGGCGAGATTCCTTATTTCAAATGAAGGTAGCTGATGCCGTAATTATTGAATCTTGCCATAAGGGCTTTCAGTGTGTAAATACCGGGCGTTCGCGTGTGCCAAATTTAAGGGGGCTAAAGTCCCGTTTGCGACACTTTGAAAAAAACGCAATTCCTTGAATGTAACGCGGTTTTAAGCTCAAGCCAAACTAGTTGGCTCTCGTTCAAAACTCACGAAATTTCTATTCAATAGAGACGTTTGAAAGTATGGGTGAATAACCAAAATATTTCTATGGCATAAGTGCCGCGATTTAGGCATTTGATTTGTAATGGAGGTTTTTCGTGATTCGGGCGGTTAGAGTTTGGAACGACACGTATTAATAGATATTTCCGTTTGTTTATGTCTATAATTAACAGTAAAAATTGTTCGAGCAACGCCGGTTGCGACTTACACAGGTCAAAAATACCCAAAAAGCTGTGCTATAGGAGTACTGAAATAAAACTTATATTTTGAGCGTTGCTTTTATTCTCGATGAGAAGCTCCCGGACTTTGTGGTTAGTGGGCATCCGTGCTTTGAGCGGGCCGTCGAACGTCGGCTTCGACGGCCCGCAACCCCTAACTTGTAAAAATCTCCACCTGTGCGTGTGTGCGCCCGTAGCCATAGCGCGAAGTGCGTGTGCTACTGGAGTAGTCGACGTTTTGCAATGTTTGTTTTCTTACAGGTAGAAAATGTAATAAAATCGGTTCTGGGTTTTATTTAGATGTAGATTAGGGTTTAGGTATAAGCGGCGCGCACGTAAATCTCTTGTAAAATTTTGTAAGTAAAATTGAAGAGCATGCGTCGTTTTGCTAAAGGATGGCGTCGAGGGTAAGCAATCTGTATTAGAGTATAAAATGTTAGGGTCAGATCAGAGGAGCGGCGTCGAGGGGAAAAGAAATTCGACGACGCACTTGGCTGTTTCATCGCTCCTTAAAAGGTATGGGTACTTGAGAAGGGGTCTCGTCGCAGCAGCCGCCGCCGCCGTCGCCGTTGTGCACGTTCGGCTATCAGTACATATGCCGTGCTCTAGTTATCGCTACTACAAGCACATGGCTTTGGAAAGGTGACTAACCGGTAACCAAAAGCTGGACAGTTGAGATCGGGAGGTAGGGAATGCGTTATTACTCGACCAGGCGCTGTTTAACCATGAGTCAACCTCAGCATCGCGACGCCCGCCTGGCCCCGGCCCGGGCCTTGTCACGCTTGCCGGCTGCACACGTGCCCACGGCTATCTTTAGCTCATGGCCCCTTACGTAGATTTTTTTCTTAAAGCTTCTGGCACAAGTCTCTTAATTATGAAACAGAAATCTCTACGGTTTTATGAGGAATAGGTAATGGAAATGAGACGACTCCTGTGTTGCGTATTAACTCGTGTAATTAGTCCTTTCGGTTTCTTTATTCGTTGTTTGGGTTTCAATCAGTCGAGAGAAAACTGATTTGCGTTTGGACGGCGGGTGCACGGGAGCGGCGCGAGAACACGTGCACAAGTTTTCGTCGCGGGGTCAGGGGTAAGCTGGGGCACCGTCGGGAGGGGACTTGACGTCCAGCATCCCTGTTCGTAAGTGCATCTATAGCCAACGCAAGCGACGCCGCGGCCGACGTCTGAGGTAAGCCATCCCAGGAAAGCGCAGATTTATTTTAAACTTGATAATTATTTTTGGGGTGCAATGCATGCTTCGCGCATCGCGAATCTATTGCGTGTGGTCGACCTTGTTAAAAACGGTGTTACCGTCACCATGGAAACTGCTAGATCCCTGTGCATGTGAGTGCTTTCTTGACCCTTGACCTGTTAACCCTTTCGTTGGTAGAAGTGCTGCCTTTAGAAGGGTGTCGTAGATGCCGATGTGTCACGGGTGTTGATTAAAGGTTCCAAGTAACCAAAGACAGCTGTGAACGCAGGGAGTTAGCGGAAATCCGGCAGCGATCCACCTCTGTTAGTTTACAGCTTCCCTCGTCGATTTTCTTCGTCTTAAAAAAAATAAACGCTCATCTCCAGACTTCGCCGCGCGTCCACGGAGAGTGCCCTAATTGCGTTGTAAAATGTTAGTTAATTAGTTGGTTTATTCCTTTGGCATCGCACCAATTACGTACGTCACCGGCAAGAAGGTCTTTATAAGTGCGTCCGTGGAAGTTGCAGATTCGGGAATTAAATTGAATTAGCAACGCGTTATCAATGTTTTTCAATGTCTCTCCCGCGTTTACATTGTTCACAGGGTTATCATTCGATATTTACTTTATAAGTTTAAGGTCTTTGGGTGCGCTTTGTTGAAAACACGTGACGGGAAATTTTGAATTGCGTTCGCTTTTGGCGGATACTCGTCGGAGGCGAAGGGCGGGGGAGTCTCGCTTTCAGATACCCCACACGTTATCAGTATCACCAGCTGACTTCAGAAACGTCGCGCTGTTCATCTGAAACATTGGTTCATACGGTTCGTGACGTTGGTACGCGCAAAACCAATCCGTAGCCGCCTCCGTTGGCGGGTATCAAGGTATCTACTGAACTTGGCATGAGTTTTCTACCGGGACTGGAATAGTCTTATTCGTTGTGCGTAAGGAAATTAGGTACTTCTTGTGCTGTGCGCGTTTTAACAGTGATGCGGCCTTTACAAAATTTCCCATTCTCGGTAAGTCCGCCTTATCTATGTAAATGCCTTCTGAACTTCTAACCTTGTGAATACATAAAAACTTAATAACAAAGAAACGTCTATTCGAGATCTTTTCCGAACTGTAAAATATTTATGTTACTCGTGATACAAATATTTGGACAGGAGTAATATCTCGCGTATATGTCAAATTTGCGTTTTGAAAAAAATTACCTGAGTATCCTTGGTAATTGTCCCGGTTGCTCCCGTACTGTACACTTTCATTATTAATTTAGCAATAGTCGCAATCTCGAATATTTCGTAAATAATTAATTAGTTACGTATTTCGCAAGGGACCCCGATAACATATTTTAAAAAGAGCGTTAAAATATTGTTGTTTTTAAGTCCACCCAAACACCTCACCTGTACCTACTTACTTGAAAGAATCGGTTATCAATTCTTAGCGCCTATATTTTTAGTTGCACCTGTTTAACTTCGAAATAATTACACAACGCCGCAAATCCTCCGAATATTGTTCATTGACGTTAAAGCGTGTGGTAAATAAATCGATTCTTACGCGCTTTACGCTCGATGTAGAAGTAGGACTAAGGAAGCGAGCGCACTATTTACAGTATTTCATTTACTGGCACTTAACACCTCGTTCTATATATAAATATTCCGATTTTAATGATATGTAACTGGCTAATACCGTGCAATTCCGTTTTTCCCTACTCGGAAATGATATGTAATATTGACGAATTAAAAATAGTACCGCGTAGGCTATTTTGAGCGGCATTGTTATTAAGATTTATATAGATCGTGGTAATACTTTTTCCTCACTTGACTCTAATTTATTGTTAATGCCGAACCGTCGCCAGGTAACTTGAGGAAATATGTCCGCAAAGTACGATCGTAATTAATTCCCTAAATAAGGAGTAAGTTACCAAATTATAAAAGAATCGGATAAATAAAATAAAATTGTTAGTGGGTGGCGCTAGCGGTACAGGTAAAACGCGTAGGAGGGCCACGCGCCGGCCTTGCTCGCCCCGTTGATCGATCGATTTCTACCCCTATTTGAATCGGGTCACTGTGTTTGCGGGTGGCCCGTATCTACCCTTATCAAGCGCCATTGCGTCTTCGCAAAATAAAAGAATCAAAAATCCCAATGTGACATAATGTCTCCATGTTTCAGATTACTGACGTTTGAAGAAACCGCCGACGTTCCTCGCCGTAACAGTTACGCTAAAAAGCGCTCGCGGCTCTGGCCAAAATCATTACTAGACACGAGTTTCACGTACGCTTTTCAAAATTGCTACCATGGGTCGTAAAAAAATACAGATATCCAGAATCACAGACGAACGGAATCGACAGGTAAACGCGCACCCCATGGCGGCAGTCTGTTTCACACTTTCAAATTAAAGGTAACCTTCAACAAGCGAAAATTTGGTGTAATGAAGAAGGCGTACGAATTGTCCGTTCTGTGCGACTGCGAAATCGCCCTTATCATATTTAGCAGTAGTAATAAGCTGTACCAATATGCCAGTACCGACATGGACAAGGTTCTTCTTAAATACACAGAGTACAACGAGCCACACGAATCGCTCACCAATAAGAACATTATCGAGGTACATCAAATCCAGCAGCAACTGTGGCTGATAATTGGCTGATGCAAACACCGATAACTAATGTTTGATTTGTGCTAATATAGTTATTCACCTTATCAATCTAACACTTATTCTATATGTTAGTGCTTCTTATTATTTTTAGTTATCGATTTTATTGCATTTGCCTAATATTTTCACTGTTGTTGCTTAAATAAAAACCCCCATAACGTGAGCGTACATGAATGATAGGATGTGTGAGCTATGGTGCAAGTTCCCCTTACTGTTTGTGATTCCATGAACTGTGTCCACTGACACTTGCAGGCACTTAATAAGAAGGAGCATAAAAACGGAGTTATGAGTCCCGACAGTCCAGAACCAGAGACGGAGTACCAGCTAACACCAAGGACCGAGGCAAAGTACAGCAAGATCGACGAGGAATTTCAAATGATGTTGCAACGTAACCAAATAAACGGCCAGAGGGTACGTACCAATCTACCTAATTAATGATCGCCTTCACAAAATTGCCCGTCACTATCAATAAAATGCCTATAGTTTATACTATACAGATATAGTATTTCGTATTTTCAATACGTCGGGTCGAGTTCCCATACTAGTCCAGTCACTCGGGCCGTAGCTCGACTTTCCGTGAACCAGAAAAAGACGCAAAAGACAGGATAAAATTATTTTTCACAGCTGCAAGATACATCCAGCGGCGGTTTATCCACTATGTGCATAATGGCGCAAGATAATAATTTTTAACTGATACTATGTCTTGGTTTCGATAGGTATTTTAATTAATGATTGTGGGTATGACAGTTGGGTAACCATAAGGGCCCGGTGCACATGAACTGCAAAGTAAACGGGACGCCGAGGTTGGTTTCTATGAACATAGTCAGAAATACGTTGGGAGTAATGGGGCAATGCACATGGGACGCCTATACCTTTCAGATATTCTGCCCCATTACTCCCAACTATCTTGATAGAAAACAATCTCGACGTCCCGATCAGTTTGCAGCCCATGTGCACCGGGCCTAACAGAAACGAAGTCTGTTAAATCGACGCCAAGTTGGGGCCTAACGCTACTTAGAAGTGAAATTTTGTTTGGGACTTTTTCTACTCTACAAGTCCAACGTTTCGGTTTTTTGGGCCACCATCAACTTTATTTTTTTAACATAAGGACCTGCATTTTTTATTTTGTATTTTGAAAGATCTCGTCATTCCGAAATATACACGTACAACACTTGCCTAGTTAATAAACGCTACCATCCTTAAATTGACAATAAAGCAAAGTTTTATGAACGTAATATATAATTTCATTTTTTTCTGAGCCATACTACATTCTTCCAGATTGGGCAACATTAACCTTCAAAGTAACTGCCCACTCTGGCCGCCTCCTGACTAGACAAGTCTTCCAGTTTGTTTTAACGTATTTGTTAATTAATTCATTCGTTCAACGTGCAGTACTAAAATTGCGAAGGATTACCGCCAAATAGTGGCGGTCCCAGGGGGGGGGGGGGGGCGTGGGGACCCCCCTCCCTGTTCATTTTGTTGATCAGATTTCTTTTATTTTTTTCCGTGTTGGGACAAAGTTCGGGTTTGGGCCTCTCCCTTTACCAAATCCTGGGACCGCTACTGCCGCCAAATGCATTGAAGCAGAATATGATTTTGATTTTACCTACTTGACAAAACCAAAAAATGTTATATTTTCGATATTTAATTAGTTTATTTGTATTATTTGTTTTTTGTTGATGTGTGATAATAAAACATTCTTAAGATCCAATCGTAAAAAATAACTGAAACTAATATTTCAAATTGAACGCTTTGTTTCATAGTCCCTCTATTTTTTGTGTAAATCTTGCTAAATTGTTAATGGTAGCATTTAGTATCTATACAAGTAATTTTTCAAAATGACAAGCACTTTTAAAAGATGAAATAAAACGTGTAGGTCTGTATTAAAAAAATAAAATTGATGATGACCCCAAAAAACCGAATCAAATTATACCAATGCCAGCTTGTAAGAAAGAAACAATTTCAAGTAACCAGAAAATACAAACAAAATTTAGGGAATTTCGGTTTTTTTCCGGTTATCTCCAAAACCATTCGCAATTCCTTTCTGGGCAGCGTAACACTCGGTCCTAAAATACGCAACTTGATCTTCATTTAACCTGCTTCGGACCATTTTTCCCGCGTATTTCCAAATACGAAATTGTTACAAAGCATATTCAAAAACGTTAATGCAATCAAAAATGAGTTGCTGTCCAGTTACCTTTGGATTTTTTGTTTACATGGGCAATCGTACTTAACTTGAACTTTCAAAGGCGACTCGACAGCAATTCATTTTTTTAACGTAGCTGAGAAAAAATTGAAAAAGAAACTCCTATTGTAAGACTTTGTAGTTCCCAAGCGAGCCCTTTGCGTATTTGATGAAATAAAATCAATATAAGAATACGTTCATTTTATTCACAGCGGCGGGCAAATGTAAATCACCATTAGCAACAACCATCTAATCTTTCTTTACCATTTGCAGCAGGTCAGTATGAGTGGATCAAATTATACACAGCCCGTTTCCGTGCCAGTTAATATAAGCTATGGAGAATCAGGTCTTCTACAGTCTAGTCCACAAATGGCACACACGAGCATCAGCCCGAGACCGTCATCTTCCGAAACTGACTCGGTCTATCCCAGCGGTGGAATTCTAGAGATGAGCAACGGATATCCTAACTCGGCGTCGCCGATGGGCGGGTCGCCATCGCCGGGGCCCAGTCCCGGTCCGGGATTAAGTTCCTCCAAACAGCAGCATAACAAGCAGCATTCTCCGGGACCACGTTCCAATTTGAGAGTGGTCATTCCTACACCTTTGGGACCGAGCCTGTCTTCGGATGAAGTGTCGTATAGCGAAGTGAGTACTGAGAGTGTCTGGCATTGGGTGCTTGTCGTACCCTTTGTTCGTATAGGTAAATGTAGGGTTGCCAACCTAGAGCCCCTTTAATATAAGACATTTGTTTGAATTATCCCTCCTTGTTGTATACTAACAATTGATAATGGCTTATGTAACTTTCTGTCTCGCTACACAATTAAAATGAATGCTTTATTTACTTGTAGGTGCTTTTCTAAAACACAGGCATCGCCTTCGTTATTTTTTCAATTTCTCATTCCCACTTATTGTTTGTCTATGGCTAAATAGCAAGGACATTTTTTAATTTGACGATCAGCTCAATTAATTTCTAACAAAAATAGGTGCTAAGGTCCAGTGTAAATAAAAAGTAGAAAAATTAAATAATTAACATTTACTGCCAAATATTGCAAGATTTACTAGCTTTTTGTTGACTTCCTTACTTCTCTAGGTTTTTTAGTATATATAGTCGAAAACAAATTAAATTCCGCATGGTGTATCAGAATTTAAATCAGTGTTGTTTTTCCTACAGTACTGTTGGGTATTGGAAAAGGTGCCGCTACTTTATGGCAAAGGGTTCTAAATGCTGCATGGTTCGTTCATACCAGTCATAAATTCCTTTCAACTGCAATACATTTATAATAATCATTTTAAGTAGGCCTTAGGGAGGGGTTTTCTGTGATGTATTATTGCACATTAAAATTTCGCCAAGGCACGAAGGGATTGCTGGGGGGGAAATGCAGTCCTTGACTAAACCTAAAATGGTCTTGGGCGTTTTTTAGAAATTCACCTTTGACTATTCAAATATATGGCTGTTTCATTTGTTTTATGTTTTGTTTGTTGTATATCATAATAAGAAGTAATTATTTATTTTCAAATTTTGCGCTCCTGGGCTCACGTCCCGAGTTCCTTTACATTAATTCGTTGCTGACCTTTTGACATAAGTGTTGACTCAGGTTGTTGCAAACTAGTTCTCTAGGTCTACTATATACTAGTGTTGTTGACAGCCATTTATGTCATTGGATTAATTAAGTAAAGATTACATTCATCCATTGCTTGCTTTATAGCGTGGCAGTATTCAGATAAAGTTGTTTTGTACTAAATGGAACTGGGATTATTTTTAGGTGCATGCCATCTCTGCTAGAGTGAATAGTCAAAATTGGTAGAGCCCCATATAACCTTTCTTATTAACCAAGATAGAGAAAAATTCATAGAAGGAAATCCCAAGTTTTGAAGTACATAATAATAATAATATATAATTTATTCCCCATAAAAAAAATCAAAACTCTACAAATCACACATGTTTTGTCTCCTATCATATGAATCCAATTTTACTTTTCATCATACTTTTGCAATTTTCTAGAAAATTTACACTTTCATTCATAATATCTCTTCAGATCTTTAAGTTTTTTCTCTGCCTCCATGCTATGAAACTAAGGCAAGAAAAATCTTTTGCAATGGGAGTGAATTGTTTTAGAATGATGTCTAAGAGAAACACGTCTGAACTTACATGTCTCAGCTCAGCATGCATGCAAATGTAATTTGTTCCCAACTGGAAACTTAGGTAACTAAAAGCGATCTAGATAGTTTTGAATATTTTCTTTTTGTCTCTCTGTCTATCCCTTGGAAAAACGAGAATTGGACCCAAATTGGCATGGCCGTTCGGAATCGTCAGAAAAAATGTAGGTCAGTCGGAAGATGATAAGGCTTTAATTTAGTCAGGATTGTTAGTATAGAAGTTTTTGGGTATGTAGTGTGTTCCAACTGAAATCGAAATCTTTGGATTAAATGGAACATTCTTTACTTTTTTTTGGAAAGAAAATGAAGCTTTAATTATGTGATACTACAAAGTATTAAACATTTACTTAGTGTAAACTGATACATTGTCAATAAGAAATTTTTAGAACAATTAATTTTTCCAAAAACTAACTAGAATTAAAAACAAAAGAATAACAATTAACAAATTATTTTTCAATCCACATAAAAAATACAAGAGATTAAAGTTCAAACGTCCCACTGGAAAGGAAGTTTATTGTTAGGTCTTTCGTCCAGATTAAGAGCGGCCTGTTGATTGGCGATTTTTTAGTTATAGTTAGTTGTCATTAATTATTTTCCGTCCATTTTTTCCAAATGTTGGATTGAGGATTAGTTTTTAATAAAAATGTTGTATTACCTAAGAAGAAAGAAAAGGATGAAGTTGAATCACACTGTATAAAGAATGAAAATTCACTTTTTGTTGTAATAGAGACCGTTGGCCATTGAAACGGTGTGTTAAGGCAATAGGCAAAGCCAAATCACGTTTTTCCTAAAAATCTGTTACAAATTTGGTGAGGGGCATTACTGTTTGTGTTTCGCGAAAAAAAAGTTGAAGCATCATAAGTACCAAATGTCTTATGTGTACTTGTTTAACACGCTTGCAACAAATCTGTTTATACTAAACTCAATCTTTTTTGTTAACTTTGTCAAAACAGGAATATGATTGAATTCCGAGCAATAATTTTTGACGGTTGGCGGCCCTAATTAGTAGTAGTATGTATTCCAGCATAATCGGACACAATCATCACTGAATACTCCTGTGGTGGCCTTGCAGACTCCCGGGCTTTCCAATTATTCTGGAAGCGGACTGTCGTCGTTTGGCGCTCAAGATTTCAGCATCGCGCCCGATATGGGATTGGGTCCCATATCTTGGAGCGGCCATCAAATTCCGACTTCACTCGCCCACAACAGTGGATTGCCACACCTGGCAGTCTCCAGCAGCACTCCACCTCCTTCTTCATCTCCACTACCTGTTAAAATCAAAAGCGAGCCCATATCACCACCGCGAGAGCATCATTTACACTTGGGTGCCGGTCTACATCATCCTCAGACACACAGCCTTAATTTGACCCAGAGTCACCATCCGCGACCCAGTTCGGCGGGGCAGTTAACACCAACTCCGGGAAGCGTGACACCAACCAATCTACCGTCACCTCCGGGACCACCGAGTAGTGCAGGTGATTATGATAACGGACCAATGCTCAAAAGGTCGCGCCTCGCGGATGGTTGGCCTTCTTAGACGCGTATGAAACACTCAAGTGCCATAGTGATATGCAGAGTGGTTTTCCAAACATGCTTTTTGCCAATGGTCATCCATGTGATAAACTCAAGAGTCAAGTAGAACAAATAAAGTAAAATATTTTATCGAAAATTGTAGTAATGCATCAGTGAATGACTTTTCTTTTTGTAGAAACTTAAACAAGATTTATATTAGAGTGAATTAGTGTGATGAGAGTGTGCGGTTTCAGTCAGCGACGGCAATTGAGCTGTCGCCACATCAGTTTTCATCTGATAAAAAAACATATACATATAGTGCCATTATTTTCTTGTAATTGTTAGTGTCTTTTTTATAAATGTTTTTAGATAAACAACATATTATTTGTATTGTACTTGTTAATTTAGCCTGGATGCAGTCACTAACATGAGACTAAGCAGGATATTTCTTGTATTGTACTGGTGCTTTCCCTGACCTGACCTGATCGAATGTACTCTGTCAACTGGCTGTTACCGCGGGCGGGTGAAAACGTCCAGCCGCCTGTTCATCTGTGTTAATTGTACTGCTTCCCTGATGGAACCTACGGTGTTCATTGTTGTAGCCTTTTCAATTTGTTTGTGATTTCAGAGTACGATATCTATTCTGTATATTACCTACACGGATTAAATTATTATACATTATATAATATACATATATTTTATCTACTGTTGTGTGCACAATCCTTGCACATAGTTTTGAAGTTTATGTCCGGGCCAAACCCGGCTATCCGTGTTCGGCGGATAACCCTATCTCCACTACACTACTGTAGGAATGCCTTACTCACAGTGCCTCGACAATATGTGTATGTAATCTATTCATGTACTGCATCACTGGATGTCTCAAATCATCGTAAGCCCGTTCGCAGCCTCCGTGTAGTTACAATGTCAATTCTTCACAGGGTAAAAAATGCTGCATCTATCGGTGCGAGCCGGGTGGACGATGGGTGCCGCTGCTTGTGCCTTCTTGTCAAAAACCCATAAACCTTTCCGGTCCCGAATTGGCTTCCGTGTTAACTGCACCACTGTTCTTCTGTATGTATGTTCTCATCGTTTATAAGCATTGTCGAATTGTCAGTTGACATAATTTTTGTTAGAGTCTTACCCCAGTGGAAACATTGAGCCTGAATTTTGAATGGACGAAATACCCAGCTACATTATGTAAATATGTTCCCTTTGTTGTAGCTTTGCCAGTGATAAAACTAGTTTTTTTATCAGTATGTTGTTATTATATTAATAAAAATCCATATCCACGGCATATATTGCGTCCATTTAACTTGGGCATTTTCAATCATGTGCAATATTAATCTGAAGTTTATTTATCTATGATGTATTAAATTTAAACCAAATAAAATTGTTTGTTACATTACTGAAGTATTGTTTTTATCGAAATCCAATTATGTATTTCCTAATTTTCTTTTTTCAGTTAAGTACAACATATTGTAAACTAAAATAAGAATGGATCAAATAAATATATTCGTACAATTGAGATATTATTTAACAATTTTCGTACATTCATCATCCATTTTTATTGTATCGTCTAAATTTATTTTAAAGTGATGGTTTGGAATTGTAACCAAGCTTAATTACCAAAACGACATCAGTTTTAGTTTGTTAAATCAGTGCTGATCTGGTATCTGTCTAATTGCAGAAATTAGGGTCGCCTTTCTTATTTTTAGCTTCTAGTTTGAGCTTTAGTGTGATTCACAGTTCAGTATTTGTCTTATGGAAGCAGCCAAATGTGTTGTGTCACAAAAGACTCTGGTTGGAGAGAGTACCAATCCAATTTCAAGGAAAGAAGCAATTTACCTGCAATTTCGCTAAACATTAGGTACTTTAACTTCAACAATATAGTGGCAGGTAAAGGAATTGTGACAACACTATGTAATTGCGCTGATTGTACTTTTAATCGCACTATAGGTGACTATTGCAATCACCGTTTTTTGGACATTTCAAAATTTCATCAAATGCCAACATTTTAGTAAAGAATACAATTTTTCCGTCAATGAATGTACGTACGTTTGTATTTTTCCAAGATAACTGCTTGGCGGATTTTGTTGAAATTTTTAATGTATATTAGAAATGCGGAAACGTTATTACGGGCCGGATTTTGAAAAAAAATGTTGGAGCGCCGCACCGCCACCGAACTTTTTTTGAAATAGCGACCCAATTTTTATACAATATCAGATGATCGAATAATTTCATTTGAAATTAACTACAAAGAAGCCGTCCAAAAGGGTTATCGCAACCCCAAGGTAATGGATATTCCCCTTTACAAACATCTCATCAAACATCATTGCCGGCCCGTGTGGCGCAGTTCAGTTGAAGCTGGACTGTGGTGCTAGGGTCCCTGGTTCGAATCCGGGTTCGGGCATGGATATTTGTAAATGTATAGTGGGTTGGGTTGATAGAGCAGCCTTGGCTGAAACCCCGCCCACTCAAAAATAAAGGCAAAATAAATAAATAAAAATCTCTGGAGGAAAACTCCCCCTTTTAGGGACCCCTGCATGGTCCTATCGACTTACAGGACAAAGCAGATCTTACCGACTCCATTAATGCCCTATAGCTTTCCCAGCGCCATACCCCAACTGGCCAGAGGTAACCCCATTAATTCCCACAAAATAACTAGGCGGTTGCCAGTCAGATGGTGGATGTACCAAGCAAGCAGCAACATCCTTGAGCACGCAACTGGAAACAACCAATAACACAAGACACCCAAACCCAGCACAGGGCTAGGTCAGATTGTCCAGGTTGGTGCCTGATATATCATGAGGGGACCACAATTTTTTGGAGTTCCATAATTTCTCTTTTACATTATCGTTTTTTAATGTTAATATCTGCACTGTGTATCACTAATTCGAATTTTAAAGTCCATTTGTAACACTAGGTGTATATATCGTATCGACTTGGGGTATATAATTTTATATCTGAGGTACCATAGGGGGCGTAAATGTTAGTAATGCAGTGATGCGCATAATGAAACGTAGTACACTTTAAAAAAGTAATTTTTTGAAAATAATGCTAATAAATAACCCGGCGTCGGGATGCGACGACCCCACCGCCCATCACCTTTTGGTGGTGCAATCAGTCACGCAGGGTAGCATCTGCAGTTGTAGCGTTTTCACGAAGTGATCCTATAGTAGTACCCATAAAACCCTCCCCTTAATAATAGAATCCCATGGCAAAGATAATTTGTACAATGCAAATGATGAAAAATTTAACAAAATTACTTACCTATATCAGAATAATATCAACTACCAAGTAAATGAAATATTGGAGAAGTGTGTACTACAGACGAAAAAAAGTAAAGGACAAAATGAAGAGGAATAGTCAACCGCAACAGAGGATTCAAAATAAAAGATTAATTAATGATTGTTTTTTGGACTGATGAATTGACAAATTTTTAAACCGACCCACACACGCACTAGCTATTTTTAAGGCGTTTTGGTAGCCGGCGATTCTGCTCAGCGTCCGTAAAACGCCGAGAAAGTCCCCATGTGTGGCAGTTTTCCTAATTCCTAAGGTAAATACGGGAGTAGTGTAGAGAACAACCTAAGACCTTCTGCAGGGACTTCTCTAAAAATTATGCGGGTCACTATGTAATTGGGCGCAAGCCTGTTGAGGGCCCAGAGCAAGAGAGAGACGGATAATTAATAAATATATAAAAAGATTTCCAATCCTACATACACAAAAAAATCTTTGGGATCGTGGTGTCGCAATAAGTCTAGCTGGAGGAGTGATAAGAAGCCAGCTCAGAAAATGTCTATGGGAATCTGCCCATGGACTAAGACAATCTAAGAAACTAATCCAGTATCAGACTTCTCAATAAAAAGTTATAGACGAAAAGAGACCAATTTCCAAAGAAAATTCAAAGGGCTGTAACTTTTGAACTAGTAGCCCAATCTTGGAACTGTTTGAAATTATGGATTCTACAGCTCACATTCTATAAGAAAAATTTTTTTCCGGGTCGATCTGAAACAATTTTTTTTGAGGGCCTCAAAAAAAGGCAGTGTACAACCTTCCTTTTTTACCAAAAATCGACTGCACCAAAATTTCTCGAGAAAACACTTTTTCTTATTAATTTTGGTGCGTAGAATCCAAAACAGTTCGTACTTTTTCTATCAGACTTCTCAATAAAAAGTTAGACTAGAAAAGAAACCAATTTCGAAAGAAAATTCAAAGGGCTGTAACTTTTGAACTAGTAGCCCAATCTTGGAACTGTTTGAAATTATGGATTCTACAGGCCACATCTTATAAGAAAAATTTTTTTCTGGGTCGATCTGAGACAATTTTTTTTGAGGGCCTCAAAAAAAGGCAGTGTATAACCTTCCTTTTTTACCAAAAATCGACTGCACCAAAATTTCTCGAGAAAACACTTTTTCTTATTAATTTTGGTGCGTAGAATCCAAAACAGTTCGTACTTTTTCTATCAGACTTCTCAATAAAAAGTTAGACTAGAAAAGAAACCAATTTCGAAAGAAAATTCAAAGGGCTGTAACTTTTGAACTAGTAGCCCAATCTTGGAACTGTTTGAAATTATGGATTCTCTACAGGCCACATCTTTGGGACCGTGGTGTCGCAATAAGTCTAGCTGGAGGAGTGATAAGAAGCCAGCTCAGAAAATGTCTATGGGAATCTGCCCATGGACTAAGACAATCTAAGAAACTAATCACTTTTCAGAAGACTGAAACCATCAACTCATTGCTAGGCATAGAAGTCTGCCTACATGGCTACATAGGCCCTGAGATAATCAGGGTAGCTAAGGATAACACATGTCGCATCTGCTTCAAGGAGGAAGACAACAAATCAGCCAATAGAAGAGTGTAATAACCATCTTGGATTATGTTCTTCTGGTACAAAGGATAGTGTTTGCCATGTTCTATATATAAAAAATGTTCCAAAACCCACTCGTGGGTATTGCCGCGTAACACAAAGTATTGAAACGATGCATCGTCATCGAAACTACACAAAATGTCGAATCTGTATATTGAAGTACATCCACGTCCAGAGAAAGAGAGGGGTTAAATTATAAATAAGTAAAATAAAGTTTCAAAGAACTTACCACACCACACATAAGAAAGTTGGCTATGAGCAGTCTGTGCAGTCACTGCGCATGTCCACATAATTTTTACCATGTGCGAAATGATTGCCTTTACTAGAAGCATCTGTGGTTAAAATTTCAAAGAAATATCTCCATAAATAAGAATGTTGTCACTGCGCATGCCCACATAATTTTTACTATGTGCAAAATGTTTGCCTTTACTAGAAGCATCTGTGGTTAAAATGTCAAAGAAATATCTCAATAAATAAGAAAGTTAGCATTGCGCATGTCCACATAATTTTTACCATGTGCGAAATCTTTGCCTTTACTAGAAGCATCTGTGGTTAAAAATTCAAAGAAATATCTCCATAAATAAGAATGTTGGCATTGCGCAGTCACTGCGCATGTCCACATAATTTTTACCATATGCGAAATGTTTGCCTTTACTAGAAGCATCTGTGGTTAAAATTTCAAAGAAATATCTCCATAAATATGAAAGTTGGCATTGCGCAGTCTGCGCAAAATATGGAGTTAAATGAAACTGATCGAAATGGGCAAATGTAGACCATAACAGCTATCAATTAGCGAAAACCCGAAGTCTCTAGGTGGCCCAGGGGCCGAGATCTCGATGGAACGGACGGACGGAAACACGAGCACATAAGCTTTACCTCAACTTCGTTGTGTTACGCTAAAAACCGGTCGAGTATACCAGGCTGCCTACATATCAGGGTGCATACTTATGATTTTATTAATAACATTAAAAATTCCAATTTTCAAGCCATTAATACTACGTACGGTATTTCATTGTATTTAAAATGCCACTTATAATTCTAAAAACGCTTATATTATAGGACAATTCCAGGTGGTTCAGACTATCCCGCCTTATCGCCACCCCATAATTACATGAATGTATCAGCCAGAATATTTTGAGAACTACCCGAGTAGTGAAGTCTAAAAGGGCAGGAAGGAGCGCCAAGAAGCGAGTCTGACAAGGTTCTACAATTACTTTGATCCAGAGCTGCACAGGTCCGTCATTGCAGCATGTGATCTTTAATAATATCATTGCTAGTTTTGATCTGCTGTTTATCCAGTTAGAGGCGGGTCTAGTCTTTGGATTTCTCATGTTTCGGGCAACCTACACCTCTATCCTCTCTCCATGGCTAGTTAACAAAAATAAAATATACACAGAAAATTGTTTATTGAAATCTATTCTTTTGAATGTTTATCTACAAATTGTTGTAATACATTATTGTCAATTGGAATAACTAGATACTCGACACCATCGTTCGATCTTTTTATTTTGACCATCTCATGATCTACAAATTCTGTTAGCTGACTACGTAATGCTAAATCTGTACTGACCAAAAATCCTTCTTTACAAACTCCATAAAGTTTTTTAAACGCGAACCCCTTGTAGTGTTTGGCCTTCCCATGTTCCAGTTGATATTTTACCATTATCAAATAAATATCTTTCGTTTTTGACGTAAGTGACATAAACACATTGTTAAGCGATGACAATACTAACGCCTTTGGTTGTTGGACAATACTCGACTCCTCGAATGAAGTTTCGCGCAAATACGGCAAGAATGAAGTGACATTGTACCATACAAAATTAAATTTACTTAATTGCGTGTTAACCCAAATAAGTGGCGCACTGATGTGATCAATAGAAGCAACAATATGAATATTCGGTACAGCTGCCAACTTTGAGAGAAGGGTTTGAGTCTGTTGATTTTTCAAAGGTTCACCTTCGATATTATGAACAATCATATAAAAACATAGATTGCGACGGCTGGACATTTTGTTGATTATTACATCACAAGCCTCATAAACATTAGTCGGATTATCAGAGAGTTCCAAAATGTCATTTACTATGCCAGTAACGATATCCTTAATTGATAAATTGGGAAAGAAACCGTCTACAACTAAAACTGGTAGATTTCCCAAACACTTCTCTCTAAATTCATTTAGAATTTTAATTTTACTTCCTAAACCATAAAGTAACACATTAAAACCTTCCTTTAAGATGTACAACCACTTCGAAAATTGGTCACGATTCTCCACAGCAACCTGTTTCAATTGCTTATTGTGCTTCACGGTAACATTATACGATGACAACAAATCTTGTAATTTGCCTTGTTCCAGTCTTGAAGTATCTACATCTGTGAATTTATTGTTAGATGTTACAGCTTTCTTCTTTGTGCAATTTGAAAAGTAATCATCTGATTTAATAATGTACGTATGATCCTCGTCCTGTCTGAATTTTGTTGGGAGTTTTTTAGAAGATTCCACATGAGAACTGTTGTCGCTTTCGCTGCTGCTGTTTTCAAGTTCGCTGCTACTAGAAGCCGATTCAGATTCCGATGGAGAATAATCGCTGGCACTTTCTTCAAAATCTTTCTCCTCCTCGTCAGATTCTACCACTACGTTTTTCAGTCTTTTTCTAATATTGTAGCTCATGCTTCATCGTATGTTCACAAGTAACACATAAAAAATAAGAAAAAGGCACTGAAGGAAATATACGGGCTATAACCTAACTTTTTATGCTTGTTGTTGTTTGTTACCATGGTTGTGACAGGCATTTTCGATTTGATACCAATTGTGAATATATTGGTATCCGTATTCGGTGTTTGGTTTCTTTATTTTGCTTTTGCTTTACCAGTCTTTTATAAACTGATTAACAAAGCCCACTTTCTATGAACTTCGATTTCCTTTCATTTTGTGGCATATCCATTCCATCGCGGTGACCGAATGGCATCGGTTGGGTTGAGGTGTTATCAAATAACAAGCAATAAATGACTGTGAACGCTTATTTGATTATAAATCAACTATAAAATGTAATTGTCCCTAATAATTATAAGTATACGTCGTATGGCTAAGTAGTTATCGTGAGCGTAATTGCGGACGCTGTTGCCACATTACAAATTTGCTGCTACCTTTAGCTGCTAGCTACGAGTAAAATTTATTTATTACTCGTAGGCTGTTAGCTTCATCACCGTCATGTCATCCACGTGACGTTGGTGCTACTGTGTGCTGTCATTCTGTACGTATTTTAGAAGAAGTTTGTCCTCGCGCTTTATTTGCAACAATTCCTCGATATTTATAACATATCGACCATTGTATAATTTGTAACGATACATTTTTGGAATAAGAAAACGACATGAATTCGATTATCGTTCGTCCTTCAATTTTTCGTATTTTTAGGTAGGTATGTGTGATGTAATTCTTCATTTAAGTACTTACAAAAATCATAATTTTCAGCCAAATTCGATACATGTCTCAATTGGGTGACTTAGGTAGCGGTGCCGGAAAAGGAGGTGGTGGCGGAGGTTCAATTCGGGAAGCAGGTGGTGCGTTCGGAAAACAGGAGGCCGCCAGAGAAGAAGAATACTTTTACAAAAAGGTAAATAACTACTTCTATTTTTAGAATATTATTACTTGGTAGCGATCAATTGTGATCAATCAAATCTATTTTTCATTTAACTCAATCAATTTTAGCAACGCGAGCAATTGGAAAAGTTAAAGGCTGATCTGACTGAAGAAATTAGCTTCCATGAAGAACAAATTAAGCGGCACCAAGATGCCATTTCTCGCCATAAGAAACGTGTTACAGATATTGAGAAGAAGTAAATTCTTGTTTTTGTTTAAGTGTTATGTTAATTAACGATACATATGTAGTATGCTAAATATATCTAGTTATCTACATGTGCTGCTTCACTGCCGAGCCTAAATCGAAAATGAAAGTGATTTTACTTTTTCATTTTTATGATCGGATATTATTTCCTAGCATATACAGATTGCATATACTATTATTTGTTATTGCATTGATGTCATTAATCGGTGAAGTTTTGGGGAGTACAGGGTAGCTTATCCTACTAATTACACATACTTCTGGGGATTATTCAATTTTTTTTGCATTTTATTGTTTACAATCATTTTAAAATCCTTCGCACTTGTCACAGTTGTCTACAGGGGAGCAACCATTGGTATCTGCTCCACATCTCGATGGGTGCACATGAATCAATTAGAGTGCCATAAAGGATTATAGCTTTTTTATTTTCTCCCCTCTTCCCCAGCCATCCACAGCAAGGTAGTCAATTCCTGAATACAAGGCAATTTTAAGAAAATATTCAACTATGATCAACATAGATACAGCATAAAATTAGGTTCCTTTGGAGTAAGGCAAAATTATTTGCCGCTTTCTACAGAAAGTTATAGTGAATAAATAAAAATATGACTAAAAGTATTACACCTGGAATGTCTTGGGTACAATTCTTTGTTAATGTGTTAATCGGTAAACAATTGGGACACTAACTAGATTCTTATGATCTTCTATGTAACTCAGAATTCGATTTCCTCACACGGACAGACGAACGGACCTACAAAACGCATGTTGGGTTCGTTCATAGTTTCGTGTTCTCTTTAGGGTTAATGTCTCAAAGCATTGAGCATGGTGTGTTGCCTACTGACCAGTGTAAATATTCTTACTGTTGAGAATAAATGCCATCTTGTTCTCATCTATTTATGCAAATTTCAAATCGTGTTCAATGAATGTAGGTAAATTAAAGGGACGAAATTATAATGAGATACAGACGATACAGTGCCATAGCGAGTTCACCATGTGCCACCTTTAGAGGTATGAGAATAAGTCTATGGTACCATCTCCCACCTTCTTATACCCAAAGTATAAGAAAAATCCTTGCATTTTTATGACTTTTTCGACCAGACTTCTCAATCAAAAGCTATAGACTTGAAACCAATTTCGAAAGAAAATTCAAAGGGCTGTCACTTTTGAACTAGTAGCCCAATCTTGGAACTGTTTGAAATTATGGATTCTACAGGCCACATTCTATAAGAAAAATTTTTTTCCGGGTCGATCTGAGACAATTTTTTTGCGGGCCTCAAAAAAAGGCAGTGTATAACCTTCCTTTTTTACCAAAAATCGACTACACCAAAATTTCTCGGGAAAACACTTTTTTTTATTAATTTGGGTGCGTAGAATCCAAATCAATTCGTACTTTTTCGATCAGACTTCTCAATCAAAAGTTATAGACTAGAAACCAATTTCGGAAGAAAATTCAAAGGGCTGTAACTTTTGAACTAGTAGCCCAATCTTGGAACTGTTTGAAATTATGGATTCTAGAGGCCACATCCTATAAGAAAATTTTTTCCCGGGTCGATCTGAGACAATTTTTTTTTCGGGGCTCAAAAAAAGGCAGTGTATAACCTTCCTTTTTTACCAAAAATCGACTGCACCAAAATTTCCCGGGAAAACACTTTTTCTTATTAATTTTGGTGCGTAGAATCCAAAACAATTCGTACTTTTTCGATCAGACTTCTCAATCAAAATTTATAGACTAGAAACCAAAATAAAATTCAAAGGGCTGTAAACTTTTGAAATAGTAGCCCAATCTTCAAACTGTTTGAAATTATGGATTCTACGGGCCAAATTCTATTGGAAAATGTTTTTTGCCGGTCGATCTCAGACAATTTTTTTCCGGCCTCAAAAAAAGGCAGTACTTTTAAGTTATTCAAATATTTGAGAACAATTTAGAAATGTTTAGGGAAAGTTTCCATTGTCACAAAATCAAATATAAGAATCCGATACATCTGAATACCGAACTCGATAGTCTACGTAACTTAAAGCAATAGGGACCTTTCTTATATCCTTAAAACCATGTGTACCAATTTTTAAAGCGATCGCACGTTTCTAAAGAAGTTATCATGCACACGGACAAACGGATGGTCAAAAATGAATCTGTTCCAAAATCGCTAGGATTAATTTCAGAAAGGCGTACGTATCATGTGCACGACGTACGATCGCTTTGAAAACTGGTACACGTATTCTTAAGGATATAACTGGTATAAGAAAGGTCCTGGTAGGTACCTCCTATATAATGATATAATAATAATAATACGCTTTTACTCCCCTTAAATTTTTATATAACAATAGAAATATAAAAAAAGCTAACCCCATACAAAGTATAACTTGAGTTTTTAAGTAGTATTAAGACTTTTATCTAGTATACTATTTTAAATTTTTAATGTATTTGAGTGACGAGTATTTGAATACTTATTTTTTTAAGTATTTGAATACTTTTCAATGTATCTGTATCTAGTATTCGCTTGTGCTGAACGTAAAAGTATTCAAATATCTTTGATTTGTGTAAAGTATTTACTATTTAGTATTCAAATACTTTTTGAAAGTATTCTGCCCAGCTCTGCTTAGAAAGGGAACAATTCAGCAGACTCGACTGATCCTCTTTGAAATTGTCCATCTGTACATCTGTCTAGCTGTCCGTTCGTGCGATAACGCTGGAACGGAAGATCCTATAGACTACAGAGCATTGAAACCTGGTATATATGGGTTCAAGGAACTTATATTTTTGTTTCTTTGCGCTGATAGGTATATTTTCAACTTCAATCACTGTGAAAAGTTGAACATTCCGTGACGTGTGTCTATTCACAAGGGAAGGCCTAGAGCAGTACCCAGGCACACCAAAAGCCCATTGTGCTTACTCTCTTTTTTTAGTAGTCCGTTCCTCTCAGTAAAGGATAGGACTCTGTATAGCGTAAGTGCTTCGTTGGCTTCGTACGCGGAACAGAACGAAGCCGAAGAACATCGAAACGCGGAAATCCACTTTCGCGGAATTTATGGCACATTACTCTGGAACACAAAGGGTACTCTTGGGTGTTGTCCATGAGGAATTTAAAGATTTATTTGAAGCACCAGCGGAATACGCTTTGATTTACTGCGTATGCCAAGAATGTCAGGATGTCTCGAGGTATTGCCGTAAAATTCAATTTCGGGTTGGCGCGCTTAAGAAAAATTTACCTTCAACGTCCCCAGGTGGGTAAGGAGTGCAAGGAGTGGTATTCCAGGGCAGCGGGGTCGAAATATTTGGTCTGTTGCACTTCGCAATCGTGAATTGATTCGTAAGACGGTGGATTCAGGATTGTTTCGTTTTCAAGAATGAAAGATGCACGAGAGGGTCGTCATGCAAGTACCGCCACCAAGTTCGTGCTATAGAACAGTTTTAAGAGAAAGGCAGTCTGGCGAATATTCCACAAATCCCGATAGCCATCGAGGCGTCATGAAAGATGAGTCATCGGTGATAAAGAACGAAGGCGGATGTGACGCAATCTTTCCGAGAAATATGAGGTGTTTGTTCTGGAACATTCTGAAGCGTTCTTGAACACTCGAGAACATTCTAGAAAAAATGTTGTTTACTTTGCAAAGTGGCTACAATCGGAACTTTTGCCCTACGACATTTTCTTGTAATTCGTTCGATTTTCATTGGTTTCCATCTCATTTTTCTCATTTTTTTTCTGGCTTGAAACCAAAAGTCTGTATATTTTTCTTATTATTTAATTGGTTTTCAAGAAAGAAATGCTTTAATATAATTGAGTTTTTGATATCACCCCCGGGCTTCAAATGGGTTAGGGTGGTAGATCTTATGGCCTAACTGTAAATGTTTGCATTGCTGTACATCTGCAAGATATTTTCATCAGCTTTTGGATTTGTCTATTTACATTTTACACCGAGCGTGTCCACCATAAGGAACTGAGTGTATTTTTGACGACCTAATTTGTCGTCATTTTGGGTTTGGCCATTAAATTGTTAATACAATTTGGGGAGGCGTTTTTATCGTAAAATTATTGTTGACGAATGAAGCTTCCTGTTCGCGTTTTTTTCACGGAAGTGATTGGAAAATTTTATTTTTGAGAAAAGCAAACGTTTTTAACTACGCGCCATTTAGAGGCAAATATTTGCGCCTGCGTCGGCAACATGAATACAGTCTTTGTAGTGAGCTCTCTGTCTCATTGATCAGTCATCTCTATGCGTTTGTGGAAGTTGTATTGTGAATATTTGTGTCATATTAAGTTATTGTGTTTATACAGGTAGTCGATTTAAATCGACTAGTAAAAACTAGTATTGGTGATGCATTTAAGGATATCCACCCTATTATGCTGCGCAATCCTGGCGGGATTTGCAAATTCCTCACAAGTAAGTAACAACTGTTTCTTGTAACTGGAATATCGAGACCGCGTTTAGGTATGTAAGCTTAACCTTCGTTCCTGAGTATATACCGAGGTATTCCTAGAGTACCTACATTCGTGAAACTTGAATAAATATTTCATAAATAAACATTGTTCAATTGAGGAAGTACCATGTCTGTCTTGTTTAATTTTTAGAGTATTCCGCTGCTGCTCCCGCTGCTATATCTAAATAGGGACAAGCATGTGTACCTAAAGAATGTTGATGAAAGCGCATCTGTAATAAAAAATAATTACAGAGTAGGAAGAAAGGTAATTGTGGACGTCAATTCAAGGTGCGTTCGTTTTAAAAATATGCCCGACTTCTCCCTCTCGGTTTATTTATCATTTTGAACATTTATGTCTTACGCAGTGGGTGGTTTTTTGATTGCTTAAATACTTTCGGTACAAACAAATTAGAGGCGAACGTTTATTTTTTTCGGAGGCGTTTGTATTAGGTAATTTCGAACGAATCAAATTTTTTTATTTATTTAAATGTCTTACGGTCGTCGTTGCATAATGGCAAGATAAACCGTTTAAAATATGACGTACAGAAACGAAATGTAAATAACGTTTATAACGCAACTGCGGTCTTTTCGGATTTTATATCTTCCTCCAGCTTATTTTTCTATTTCTACTCATTTCGCTGCCAACTTTCCGAGGGCCAA